CTCCCCTCTCTTTTTCTGTTTGATTAGACAAAAAAATGTCAATGTTAAAAATTGCAATGGAGACAAACAAAAACTCGACGTATCCCAAACTGTAGATAATTAAAAAGTATTATATACTTTAGGAAACAATAATTTGCCTTATAATTTTATCAAGTCATAATTGCAATGAGTAAACATCAGAAAAAAGTGCTTTTATAAAACATCGATGGGGCATAGGGTACATGCTTGGCCCAATTACAGTCGTGGCCTTTGGTGACCTAAATTCCCGCAGGCGCACATAGCATTCCGATTAGTTTAAACACAAATGTATATATATCGTACTGATTTATTACGGTATGTGTCTAAGAAGAGCGAACATGACGTTTTCCGTTATCGGTTTCGAGGAAAAATCAAATCTCCGTCATCTTTATCGAATAGTAAGTTAAGTGTTTCTCGAGCACATTATTTAGAACAACCAGACTTTGAGTAACTTAATTAGCAATTAATTGAAAATTGTTTACAAAATTTTAAACTTTTATTTAAATAATTTGACATACGTGTCAAGCTATATATACAATATATATATATAATTAATAAGTTCATAATAAATACATTGGAGAAAAAGAGAGAAAATACAAGAAATCCAAAATTCTGTTAAAATCAAATAATTAATTTTTTATTATTAATAGATTTATTCTTTGTAATATATCTATTGAAAATAAAAATCGAAACGTAAGTCGAACGTATAGGAGAGAATAATAAAATTAAGTATAGATAATAAATCTTTAGTAAGCGAAAATTGCGACAATAAGACAAAAAAAAAAGTAAATACCTCTTTACGTACATTTCATTGTTTCATTTTCGCCTCCTTGAAGCTTCATTAATGTTTCTATCATTCACGAATAAGAAAATTAAAATAATATTATAGTGACTAAATTATAACAAAAAAAATAACATAAATTCGGTCAATAATCGATTAATATGATGTCAAATTGACATTATCATTCTTATTCTCCTCCGATTTTTATTTTCGGTAGGGTATATATATGTGTTGATACTTTTTACTTAAAATAAAATAGCTCAGCAAACGAGAATGGATTGAAATAAATTGAAATGAATTCAGATTTTCAGAAATATTGATTCATGAATGTTAAAATAAATGCTTTTCAATCCTGAAGGCATTTTTATTCATTTATAGGAATTGCATGGAGCATATCTCTATGCCTTTCAATCTAAAAATAATATTAGCTTTTTCTGTGCATTGTGAATACTGTTCAATTCAAAGTTTTGAATAGGCAGTTTTTCAATCCAATTACATCCAATTGAATCTAATTAAATCCAATTGAATCCAATTAAATCCAATAAAAAGTATTCGCTATTTAAAATACGCATCCGAATAGAAAAAAATTTTAATCCATTTTAATCCATTCTTGTTTGCTGGGAGATAATGATACATAATCCTGTGAATGAAATACAAATGAAATACAAGAAATCCAAGAAGTTTTTGCTAAAGAAGAGTGAATTAACAACTGACAATATATGAATTAACAATATTGAGTAGCTGCGAGCTTGAAAACATCAAAGTGAAGGAAGACTATTTTGAATTGAAATATCACGTCACATTCGCGCAAGTCAAATCGATCGAGCACGCATGCGCAAATGTCGGCACGTCTGGCATATTTGGATTTTCTAACCTTATCTAACCTGTAAGAGCACGTATAAGTTAAAGTTTTATCAGCTATGACTTGTCAGTTAATTAAGACAAAATTATAAAAGCGGCGTTTTTTTTAAATTACGCTTTTTTAATATACTCATTTCACATTTGATGTTTCTATTTAGTATGTTGCGTATTTTCAGTTAAAGTCTAAAGTAAGTAAAGGTACGTTTCTCACGTGGTGTTATCGGATGTAAACACGTGAAATGTAATTTAAGTTGTTCCATTATTGGATATGAAATATAAATAAATAAAATTAACTATGTCTTGTTAAATAGCTTTAATTCATAAATTTTGTGGATTTTAATAGTGGATGTTTACATATATATATATATATATATATATATATATATATATAATGTTATTAAATGTTTCGTACTCTTTTAATTCAAAGGATATTAATTAACTGAAATACTGGAGTGATATCAAAATGGGTCAAATGGGGGATCACGATAACAATAACATTACATCCGATTGTCAAACTGGACATGACATTGATATTGAAAATAAGAAGAGCCAGAAAAAGTACAAATGTAATTATCCTAACTGCAGTGCTACGTTTTTACGACCTAACAGATTGGAAAGGCACACAAAATCTCATACTGGAGAGGTAATAGCATGAACATGAAAGTGATATTATTATGTGATACATTAATGTTTGATAATCAACAATTCTGTTTGATAGAGACCTTACAAATGTGCGCATCCAGGATGTACAAAATCATATACGAATTCGTCTCATTTAAGAAGACACTTGGAAACGCATTACTCTGTGAAGAAAGTTTACAAGTTTGTATACATTAGCATATTCTTTAATGGGACTTAGAAAAGATGTGTGTGTGTGTGTGTGTGTGTGTGTGTGTGTGTGTGTGTGTGTGTGTGTGTGTGTGTGTACATACATATATATGTATGTATATAGTTTATATATCACTATATCAATTTCAGATGTAATGAATGTTCAATGCTGATGAGTACTTTATATAATTTGAAACGTCATTACAAGCGTGTGCACAGCGAGAAGAAACTCTCCTGTAAAGAATGCGGCATATCTTTTAACAAGAGATATCAATTAGTCAATCATCAAGCTGAACAGCATTCAGGATCTATGTATAAGTGTGATAAATGTACTAAAAGTTTTGGAACTTTGTCTATATTGGACCGGCATCGAAAGATACATGAGAAACATTATTCTTGTTCTGAGTGCTCAGAGGAATTTAAAAACTTGATGCTTCTAAATGCGCATATAAAAGCAAAACATGTAACAAGTATGTATTATAGAAGGTTAAATATGTCATAAGAATGTAATCTAGTAGAACAAAATTTTTATTTCAGATTATAAATGCGACACTTGTGGCAAAGTTTTTCTCAAAAGAGACTATCTAAGAAAACACTGTAAAATACATTTTGAAGACAGATTGGTTCTGCCATGCCCATATGACAATTGTCATAAATTTTACTTTTTTAAATCTAATTTAGATGAGCATGTAAAGGCTATTCATCTTGGAAAAAAATTTTATTGCGACATATGCTCCATGGGACTTACGACGAAGGCAAGTTTGATACAACATATTCAACGTCATTACAAACCCAAGGAGAGGAAGAAAAATAAGATACAACGAAAAAAGCGGAAGGATGCTGGTGTGCCAAAGAAAAGCGTACTAAGTGCCTTAATTGGAATAAATTTGCCAAGTAGTTTAGAAAAAATGGTCATGGAACGAGAAACAAAGATAAATGATACAACGACAACATTAGAA